GAGCTCTTGATTGATCAGTATTGCATGTCTCTATCTGTTTTCATGAGAAACCACTTTGAAGATATCAATACGTAATACAAGCATTGTTAATTTCCTACCACTTTGTTTGTAACTCTGTATTGTCTGTACTGTTCCTTTGCTATTTTGTAAAAGGTTGTCTGTCTGTTAATGTTTTCCTCTCTTTATTTTTAAAATAAAATTAAATTAAAAAAACAGACCTGAAGATCAGTGGAACAGATTAGAAAAGGTAGACACAACTATAAACACACTCAGCCACCTTATCTTTGACAAAGGGGCCAAACACGTTCACTGAAAAAAAGATAGCCTCTTTAATAAATGGTGCTGGAAAAACTCGCTCTCCACATGCTGAAGACTAAAACTAGACCCATGTCTAGCACCAGGCACTAAACTAAAGTGAAAATGGATCAAAGATCTAAATATTAAAACAGAAACACCAAATCTGCTGGAAGAAAAATTAGGTAGAAATCTTGAAGACATAAGAGTAGGCAGAGAGTTCAGGAATGAAAACCAAACTGCACTGGAAATACTTCAAAGAACCAACAACTGGGATCTCCTGTTAGTGAAAATATTTGCACAAAAAAAGAAATCACTAACAGAGTAAAAAGGAAATCCATGAATTGGGAAAAAATTTTAGCCAACTGCCCCTCAGACAAACAACTTCTATCTAGAATGTACAAAGAATTAAAAAAAAAAAAAACTCAGCCCCCCCTCCAAATTCAAAGACCCAGTACAAAAATGGGCATCTGAGATGAATACAAACTTCTCAGATGAAGAAATACTAATGGTGAATAAATATATGAAAAACTGTTCAACATCGTTGGTCATCTGAGAAATGCAAATTAAAACAACACTGAGACTCCATCTCACCTCAGAAAGAATGGCTATCATTAAAAAATCAACCAGCCCCAGATAGCTCACTTGAGATGTTAGTAAGTATTGCCTCCTCAGTATTCTATAGCCATGATGAGGAGGAGGCCAAGGAGAGAAAACAAAGAGACTGAGAAAAAGCAGCTGCTTTTGCTGCACCACTAAGAGAAACA